ATGGCATGGCTCCAGTGATCCCACGGTATTGTTTCTGATCTCACACCTCCCCACATCCTGGCTATTTCAACCTTTAGCCTCCTTCTTGGCTGTCTGGTATTTTTTTCCGTCGGTACGGATACCTCAAATAGCTTACACCATTTTCCGCATTATGCCTGAGAATGATATCCGGTTTGTTGGCTGGCACAGTTCTAGATTTGTTGATCATAGAGAACCCTACATGAACCCACTGGCATAACCGGGGTCGGTACCACTCCTAGGCTAGCCCATCCATTCCATATTCAGATATTCCAGTGAAGTTATTGACAAATTTTATTGTTCTTCTCCAGATGTTTGGCCAATATTATTATTATTATTATTATTAATATTTTTTGGTCTATATGTTTATTATCATCGATAGGTAGTAAAGTTGCTCGATGGAAACCGGAAGATGGTACGAATCCCGAAGAATTAGGTGATACATATTTTGAAGGTGACATAATTATCGATGCTAAAAGTAGAAACGGTTTAAAATCGGAAAATTCACATTGGAAAAATGGTATCGTACCATACACAATATCCGACGATTTCAGTAAGTTGTACATTAAATAAATTATTATCAAGGTCGTAATCGATAATCAATTAACAATTTATTGATTTTTTTCTCAGAATATAAAGATTATAATACGATAATGGCAGCAATTGAAGAATATCATAAGAAAACATGTATAAAATGGGTACGATGGTCTGGAGAAAGAGATTATGTGCATTTTAAACCTGGAAATACGGGATGTTGGAGTTCCGTTGGAAAAGTCGGAGGAAAACAGGTAAATTAATTAAAATGATTGTATGATTGTATGTCGAATAATGTTTTGTTTGTTTGTTTGTTTTCCAGGAGCTCAATTTACAAACTCCAGGTTGTTTAACTAAAAAAGGTACGGTTATACATGAAATGCTTCACGCATTATGATTTTTACACGAACAAAATCGTCACGAAAGAGATAAATACGTAACAATCAAATGGGAAA